TCTTTATGCTAGTTCATTCAATTTCACATCTATTACTCTATTTTTGCAAAGTGTATTTTAAGTATATTTTAATACTGTCCTCCCATCTACATGCAACGCCCCCCCTCCATACGTTCTTTGACATACATTTTTTATTCATTTCTTCCGGGCTGCGATATCGTCTAGTCATGTCGGTGGTGATCAGCGTTTTGTAGAAACGTACAGTCTCTATCTTCAGGGTTCGAGTAAAGACGGTAGGAAAACGTTCCTACGAATTGTTAGGCGACGATCTACAAGACACGTAGACCTGAGTTATTGTAACTGTTACCTCAGCTGTCTCAGCAGTGTTGAGACTGACGATCCCTTTGGTCCCGATCCAGGTACAAAATATGGGCCCGTAGTCATTGCTGTATTTCGATAAAACGTCCATATAACCTGCGACAATAAAACGGATGTTTATAAATCAGTAGTTTATACATAAGATTTTATATTTTAACAGCGATGTTAATTTAGATTATCTTCAGGGATGTTGCACCGAGTAGCTTCTTAGTTGCGCGCCCTTGTTTCAGAGAATCATACTGTTTCTACGTTTCTACCACCAGCCCTAAAGAAGGTGCTCCAAAAGTTGGACATCAGCTTCATCTGGCGAGGTTTGTGTCCCATTCGTTTACCCATTTAAACCACTTCAGCTGTTTAAAATACGTATATTATCGCCCACCATCTGATTTAAAATTTAACAAATATGTGTTTTGTTCACACACTGAATTTTTTGATTTCAACACATGATCAATTCGAAATATCTACAAAGAATAGTTCAATCTCAGGTCACTTTCTTTTAATCATTTGGCCTATACATTTCATTCAAATCTTAAATAAAATTCTTAACTTAAAATTATACACAGAAAGTGGACCCACGGCCAGTATTGAAAAGTAATGTATTTTACGTGGTTTGGAAAAGGGAACATACATGTGTCATCTCTGTGAAATAGTTTAAATAAATTAGATTTCACTTGTGAAATAGTTTAAATAAATTAGATTTACAAAAATATCGGATACTTCCACTTCATCACCTCAGACTGCCCCTGTAGTATTTCTGTTAGATTTGGAATTATATGTGAGAGAATTGAAGATATCAGATTAAACATTGAAAGTCCAACGGTAACTATAGGCCTCAGTATCACCTGTTTTAATATTCAGTAACTATGTATTTTGCGATGAATTATTCGCAGAATAAAAAGCTACCGTTTCCTTAAAGACCATTAACCAATAACGATACTTGTAATGGAAAGACGTGGTGTTCTCCTTGAGACAAGAACTGAATTTTTATGACAATTAAACCGATGAATAAAAATATTATTCATGAATTCCATTGCCACTGACGTAACATTTAAAGTCTTTTTATCAATAAGTTGCATTTGCATGGTTTCTAATTATAGTGCCTGAATACAGTTACTTATAGGATCACTTATGTTATGATTATTATTTTCGAAAAAAGATTAGAAAAAATTAAATAAGAATTAATACATTATCGCTTACGTAACTGGAAAATGACGTCACTACTATCAAAACAATTTTTAAATTATGTTTTTAACCTTCAACACATTTCATAACAAACAATTTCTGCATACCATTTTAGGCTGATAACACTTCCTTTTTACTGTAATATGAAGTTGAAAATCTATATAATTGATTATATTTAATAGTAGCTTCCATTTGTCACTGATGTAACACCGAATGTCACTGACTACGAAGGTTAACATGGTGATGAACCTTCGGGTTCGGTAAGCAATCTAGTTAGTTAGTTAGTTAGTTAGTAGCAATGAATATTTTGGGTGTTTTTGAAGACATCACATTCCCATTTTCGCGGCAACTCTTTTGAAATCAGTCGATGGTTGGGACTATTTCAGGATAGGAGGAACAAAATTATGAAAATGAAATTACTTTTATTGGTCTTTTGTTTTCTATTTTTCAAGATGGCTCCTGATGACCGGTGATGCAACACTAAAAATTTAAAATATTTAAATCTCTACGTTTAAAGTTAAGGAAACAACTAATACACTGCACTAACATAAATTACATTTTTGCTTTCTTTGTTCGCATTTTGCTAGAATTATTGAACATCGGCTCCAAAAGAATAACGTGAGGGCACCATATGTTCACACAAGAAAGGTATGTTGGTAATAATGTACTTACGGTGTGAGGGTAAATTAATAAGTTCCCAGGCATTTCCAAGAATTGGGTAGGTGGGTGGTCCAGGAATTTTGCTCAGCATCTTCTTTATTCGTGATTTCTCAGGATCACGCCGCATCACAAGAAACAGAATAAGCACCAACAGGATGCTTAGCATTGCTGTCATGATGTCCATAATGAATATCCTTACTGTAAAAGCGGAACGACATTTTTTTTCTGGGATGTTTATGACAAACTATTTTTGTTGCAGTGGATATGTGTGTGATAGGCAGAATACATCTTTCGTTACACCATGACAACTGGCTAACGCGTAACTGTAGGGAAGCCTAACTTTGCTGTCTGTCCGTCTAAAATGACGCGGCAGGTAGGAGTCCTACATTCACTTCACGCTTAAACAGAAGAATTCCAACCTGCACTTTCAATGCTTTCGAAAAATTTCTGACGCTTCTGCACGAATCAAATATTTCATGTTACTAAACAACAAGTACGACTAACGTAACAATTAGCAATGTTTCTTACCTCTTACCCTGACAGTGTTTCTTATACCCAGACTTCCTTCCTTGTTGTCGGTCGCATACAAAATCACATATGTATTTAACTTGACAATCCTTGGTTGTGAACAAACTTCGTGAACCACGATAAAAATATATTACAAATCAATTCAAAGTTTAAATTCGTAATAAAATCCAAGCTGAATACACAATGAAATGAAACGTTGTACGTTTCTACTGTGCGTGACCGTTCACCTCGCCGCTCGTGCGCTTAAAGGGTTATGTTTGAGACAAAAGGTAAACAATACCCCCACCCTTCCACCTGTTGTCCACGTAGTGCTGACTGTTCCTTCTGTTCTAAATAAACATAATCTGCCCTTATCACTAATTTCCGCCTTTCGAAAAGAAAGCCGTAATCAATAACATTTCAAAATACAGGACAGAGATAGCTGTCTTATGGGTTATAGCTCCGTGAAGTCTGGTATTAGTTTACCGACGTTTCAGAGGAACTTCCTGCCGCCAACCAAAGGGCGATGAGTAAGTGTTCACACAAGGCACAACATCCCACAAGACAGCCATCTTCATACTCGCCGTCGTGAGAACCTCAAATCCTTCTAAAGAAGACAGTTACGCTCCAGAAAGAATTTTACTAAGCTTGTGACTGGCAGCTGCAACAATCCTTACAGAAATATTCAATAATCTTGCCTACTTCTGCTAGTCAGATATTGAGACATTCATAGCCACACGGTAATATAAGAAATATAATTATGTTTGGAGTAGGGGAAACACATTAAAACGTCAGGTTTAAATATAGTATTCAAGTGTCTAATTTGATGTGCTGACTGTCATGTAGAACAACTATAGTAACATAAATCAAACAGTATATCTTACATAACTTCAGCAGTTGATAAAGGATTTCAAATAACACACTAATGAACTGAAACGAGCTGTTTATCCATCAAAATATCAGTCAAATCAATCCACTACATTGGAGGAATCACACTTGTCTTGTCAGTTGTTAAGATTTTTATTTAGTGTTCTGTCTGACGACAGGTCCATATGAACAGGATCCTTCCATCCTTTTCTCGGACTGGGACCTGTTCATATACGTTCTTGGCAGATGATCCAGAAGTGGTTTGCAATTGCCTTCTTCTGTGTGTGACGCCTGAGAAAAATTGTACATACATACGAAAGCAATATAATCAGGAAAAACATGCTTAAAAATATGTCCTTGTGTACTGTTTCAGGAATCGTCTCAGAAAGAATATATGTCAATTTCTCACATTTATGAAATCTTATAACAAAGAAACGAATTAATAAGAACGTGTACTTTCTGGAGCCTTAAGCTCCACACTAACGGGACCACGCAGTTCCTAAAGGCTCTACTGGAAATTAACTTTAAGCTGTGCTCGAGAGGTATTGCATTCACGTGGTAAAATAGACAACTATGAGTATTTACAGAAACTGACCTTGACATTATTTCATGCTGAGCGTTAATTACACGCGGGTGCCTTATTAGTATTTGTCAAATTTTTAGTGAAATTGTTTTTTTTTTGTTATTGACATTACGATAATTTGGTGGTCTAGTGAAGTAAAGTGACCAATCAAATACCTAATAATACAGTATTTTTCAACATATGGTACGCGAACTAAGTAAGAAAATCAAATCATAATATTAACATAAATAAGTTTTCTCTGAATGCATTTGGTTAGTGGTATATTTAATATGTTAAATTATAATTAGTGATATGCCAGCGAAAAAGGGTGAGAACCTCTGTTCTAATTGATTACAACACATTTGACATACGCACACGTTTATGACAGTCTGGCCTTCAAATCTCGGCATGTGCTTTGAATAATTTTATAAATCTCACAGTGACGCTCTAAGACAGTGGTTCTCAACCAGCCGTCATGTCGGCTTCCATGGTGGAAAAATAAGCTGTCTCAGAACAGAAAACACGCTTCGTTAAAGTCACATTTGACTGGCCGTTCTCTGTGACCAACTATATACATTCTAATGAAAAACGTCAAATTAGAATTAGGATATTTGGGAATCATACCAGCAGAAATTATATCTGATATTAAGGGCTTCCACATAACATTCCAGGACATCCCCATGACCACTAGAAATCCTCCAGAACAATCTAACCCATCGCAAACTAAGACAACCTTATCTAACCTAACCTTAAACAACCTAACAATACCTTAGCTAACCTAGCTAAACCTAACCCAACCTAAGCCAATATATCATGCACTAATCCAATGGAACTTATCCCAATGAAACATAAAATAATCCAAAATAACTGACCTGCACCTTACAAGGAAACTGGAGCAAACAGTCAAATACCTCAATAATGACTGACTTTGTTATAGAAAATTATTATTTAATAGGCCTACGTAATATCTGTTTACAGTAGCAAGTTGGTAGCATTTGAATGAACTGTTATGTATAATTAAACTGTGGTCCGCAAAAAGATAAGCAAGGATGGCTGTCACCTCCAGGCCTGGAAGAGGGAATTTCTGCGGGGAATTTAAATATAAAAAAGTGTTTTCATTAACAATGTAGAGAAAAACATAACATGATTATTAAAAGTACCCTCCTCGTAGTAAGTCAGACAATCAAACAAATGGGATTCTTATGTTGTAATATCGTAACACAAGAACTGTTAGGCTGGTCTTGATAAATTTTATTCTTAAAGCACTTGATCAACTGTTGAACTATTTTATGCTGCTTATATGAGAGCGCTGAAAGTTAACAATCAAAAATTCAAATATGAGAGCCAATAATAAACTGAACACACCGGAATGGTTTCATTTTCAAAATTTAACACTCTTAATTCTCGGAACTTGAAATATTTCGGCCAATGGCAGACTTCCCTTTACTAACAATTTCTGCACTGCGCAGACTAACCATGGTTTAGCCAGCTCATGAGACACTGGTTCAGCAACTGCAGATGTTTGTTCATGTACAAATTGACATTTTGTTGCAATCAGGCAGAAGGGAGCGTGCACATGTGTGTGTGCGCGCGCTCATATCAGTGATTCTGATTGGGATTTATTATTTGGTAATGGGGGATAAGGGAAAAGATTGACATTTGCACTGTGTGTGCTCTGCCCATTAAAATCGTCCAATATAATTATGCAATGGAAGTGCAGTATGAGTGGTGATAATTAAAAGCAATACAATAAAGGAACATACCACAAAATGCTATTTGATAATTTAAGTTTTAGTTTTCTGTGAACTTATTTTCCTTGTTGTTATCCCTCAATGTCAGCTCAATATTAACACCTCCATGTGGTGTTATGGTCAATCCCAACAACGGATTTAAGTCTTTTGTCTCCTTAAGACTTCTGATTTTGAAATTACGTACAATAGAAGACAGCACTGCCTTCAATTCCATAATGGCATATCTCTGACCTTTAAAGAAAAATGTACACAGTTCAACAAATTTAGACCAAAATAATTCCCAATCAAATGCCATTGGGGTGATCAACTGACAGGATATGCAGCCTGAAACATGGTGTAACATGGACAGACACAATCAATTCTGTACTCAATAAACACGTTAGCAAATGAGCATATAAAGAGTAACGAGTCTCACTTTCCATCAATACAACACTTATTACACTTGCTTATTTTGAGAAAAATAAATAGGTCCTTAGAAGAAGTTCTGTGAAGAAAGTATGATGCCTCATTTTCCTTCAAGTACTTC